CGAATAAAGTATTTCAGTCAGCTTTAAGCTAGAACAATGTCCCAGAATATTCTTTGCTGGGTTCATATTACTTCATATATGAAAGGCATTTTCACATTGCAGACCCAAAATTTGAGTCCTGGGGTCAACGTTCCCAACTCAAAGGTGGTCGAGAAGGCCAAAACAGAAAAGGTGTCGAGTTGGGTACCGCTCAGGCCACATAAGGTCAAAATTCAACCGGTACCCGGCCGCAAAGTCCAGTCCCACAGTCAAAATACAGCAGCGTTCCAATGAAAAGTCTGCAAAGTACCGGGCCTCAATATTCCAAAAGCAAACAGGCCGAGGGCGACCGGTACCAGTCAAAGTCAGGCCCGGGCCAGAGGCCAAGTGAAGTAAGGGCCCAGTCCAAGTCAATGACAAGACTGGCCCAGCCTCATTCAAACAGATTGCTCATTCACAACAAGGTAGGAGCGCTGCTGATGCTTGTGCGCTATTGCGAGTGACTGAACGCTGTTACATGCCCAGTTGTGCGATGTACGTACATAACCAAGGATCCGCAATGTGATGAAAAGGACTGAATGGACAATATAGTGCTAGTGGAATCTCAACCAGCAATGTGCATCCTGATACATACAAAAATGGTGCTCTGTAGCGCAGTGGGAGACTTAGATATAAGTCCTGACCTGACCGGGACTGACCTCTATCACGAAGTGCAAGACAGCGCAGCAGAATGCTGGAATACCAATGACTAGCCCAATCAATGTCGCAAGTTCGCAACGCAGACCAAACATACATCATCCTCATCACACGGTGTGTTAAATACTCCTGAAACACAGTCAGAAGTATGGCGCAGATTCCCAGAACCGACCAGATAATACAGAGAAAGTACAAAATACAGCAGAAGACTTGATACACATGGACTGACTCCGACCTGACTCAGACTTCAACGAAACACTCTCAACATGCATCAGTGGTGTGAAAGCCCTGGCCTTGAACACGGAAGAACAGGCCAGGGTCTGACATCATACACGGACGAATGGAGGGAGAGGAGAGACGAAACGAGGAGGAGAGGGAAAATGACGTCAACACCATAGATCCAAAAATAGTATCTCAAATGTCATAAGTAGAGCAAATCCGGAATGTCGTGAACACAGAGTCTCACAGTGTCCCAGATGCCGATCTCCCAATATCAAGATACATCTCCAGACCTAGATGAAGTCCGATCCCCGAAGTAGTCCTCAACCGATGTCTCAATGTTACTATCTCAACTGTCATCAGAAATCGTCACCATCGTTCGTACTCAGCGTGCTCCAGTATAGTAGACCTAGACCTAGAGGGTAGGAGGAGAGAGAAAGAAAGAGAGAGAGAGAGAGAGAGAGAGAGAGAGAGAGAGAGAGAGTCGGAGGAAGAAGAGGGAGGGAAGGCAAGGCCTTCCTCCCTGTTACCTGATGTGGTAGCTATGGCGCTGCAAAGGCTGGCACTGGGCCGCGGGCTGGGCCAGTGGCTGGCGTTGCTCCAACCGCTGCGCTAATTCCTCCTCGCCGCTGAGCTCATTCTCTCCTCGCGGCTCGTGCTAATGCTGAAATGCTGTAATAATCATGCTAACGTTGAACGCTGCGCTAATCCCTGAAGACTGACGCGTAGACTAACCTCCTGTCTACTAACCTCCCTACTGAGGCTGCTAGCCGACTAATATAGTGTGGGGCCAGCCTCAAGGCTGCTGGTACCTTGGGTCCGGACCATTGATCTGATCATAGGTTCAGATCCTATTGCCGGAATCTGAAAGTGGCGGCCTAACTTGGCCGGTGTTCAAACTGTTCCGCCGGTAGGTCCTACCGCTGGACCTGTACCGGACTGAACCAATGTGACCGTTGGGCCTGTCTTAGACACCTACACCTAGGCCTACCGGGTTCTAAGTGAACCCGCGTACTCCTAGGTCTGCCTGGGCCTGATCTGAACCGCCGTACCGCTAGGCGTACCCTGACCTAGATGGAACCGGCCCCTAACTGGGGCCCGTGCGGCTCAGAATTCCACACGGTGTGAAGGGGCCTGGTGCTACACACAGGAAGAATGTGCCAGGTCCAGATCATGCACAGACGAAGAGGAGGGAATCAGACGAAGAAGAGGGGGGGTAGATGGGAATATAGTCAACACCAAGTCTTTGTTACAAGTCCCAAAATAATCCCTCGTCAAAATGTCTGAAGCCCAATGCCGAGTCTGGATCCAAATGTCACCAATCCAGCTTTCTCGTAGTCTGCTGATGCAGTGAAGTCAGGTAGCGAGAGGGTGAGAGGGAGATGGTGGACTGAGAAAAGGAAGAAGAAGAACTCTCTCTCTCTCCCATGTGCCAGGTACTAATCTGTGAAGATGGCGTTGTGCTGCAGGTACCTTGAAGACGAAGCTGGAGCTATGGCGCTGCAGGTAAGTCCCCTTGGCCTCCACCCAATCTCCCTCTCTCTCTCCAATACTACTAACTCCTACTAGCGCCCAGCGCTGAAGACTACTGCTAACGCTACTACTACAACTGCAGCGCTCCTCCAGAGTGCTGCTGCCGAATCCTGAAGACTACTCCTGCCTCCTGAACTGCACGTGAAATGTCTGGGAAGTCCCTATGAACTACCTGCAGCCTGCAGGGCGGGCCAGTTCTATATAGTGCTGGCCTGTCCAGGAGGCTGCTCTTGCCAATGCCGGGCCAGACCCTGGTGCTGAAACTCAACCAAGGGTTGTCTTGGAAACAGGCCCAAAATGGCCTGTGCTAAAACCCTGGTCTGGTGCCTAAGTTTCAGGGCAGGCCAGTCTTATGAGGGCCTGAAAATGGCCCTCCGTTTCAGGCTGAAAAGACTCAGGGCCTGGAGGGCCCTGTTTTAGGCTGAAACGACACAGGACCTGTAGGCCCTTGTCTTCAGGCTTTCAGGCTGAAACGACACAGGGCCTGTAGGCCCTTGTTTTCAGGCTTTCAGGCTGAAAACATCACGGGCCTGAAAATGGCCCGTGCAGCCTGTTGCAGGCGCATCATGTTGCAGGTGCAGGACGCAAAGTGTAGGACGGTCCTGAATGATGAAGGAAGGTCCTTCGGGTGCATCCCCAGCGGGTGCCCCGATCGGCCAAGGCCCCATCCATTTTGGGAGGAGCTTGCAAAAGATATCTTGTTCGAGGCTGAACTCCGCGGAGGAAACGCAAACGAGATCGCCGGCGCGGAATGGACAAGGAAGACGTTGGCGATTGGCCTGTTGGCTCATGAGTTGCTGCGTCTTAGCCATCTGGTCGCGTGCCTTGACAAGTAGTTCTTGCATCCGACGCAAGAAAAGAAGAAGGTCGTCGCTCTCGGCTGTTCGTGGAATGATTGTGTCCAACCGAAAAGTGACCGGCAAGACGTGCTCGAATTCGAAGGAAGACATCCCGATGGTCGGGCGGATGGACGAGTTGTATGCCAACTGGACATCCGGCAGCCGCTCAATCCAA